CCTCCAAAAATTCCAAGTTAAAATGCATTTGAACCATTTTTTAGTGTGAGATTCCACTAGTACAGACAGAGCCTTTGACATTTCTTCTGCTTTGATTTTCTTCTGGTTTCCTAAAATTTGAGTGACTTAGAAATATGTCTTTTTTTTACCCCCATGTGAATGATAGAACAAAGGATAGCTTTTAATTTGGAAAACAGTTTTGTAATCAAATTGTAGTCAAACCTCTGTTTTCCCGGCTGGGCCGGGAAGAGACTCTACCTTCCCCCCACCCCGCTTTTCCCAGCCCCAGCATTATTTCCAGAGGGTTGCATGTCCCAGCCAGTGAGTGCACTGGGGGCACAGGAATGTGTGTGTGTGGGGGGGGGGGGAGATTTAACTCGTCTTTTCAGTATCATACTGAACTGTGAACTTACCACAGAGGAACTTTTAAAAAGTTAAAACTCCTAATGTGGCAGACAGGGTGATGATTGTGTTTGGCACAATAGGAAGCAAAAATCTTAGAAGAAGATACTCATGTGTCTTAGAGCAGTGACTTTGAAACTTTCCAGACGTCTACGTCCCTTTCAAGAGGTTGATTTGTCTTATTATTTTTCACTTGTAAGCCTTGACTAAAGCCAGAGCATTGGGTGGCACGGATGAAGCCCAAGTCCCACTGCTGTCTGGGGTTGAAGCATGTATCTTACCTTTGTGTGAGGGCCTGGGCAATTGGCTGGCTTGCCACCCCTTAATGCTGGCCCTGCATTTGCAACCCCTTTTAACCCATCCCATGGTTCTCTTGGGAGTCTCAACGCCCAGGTTGAGAAATGCTGATTTAGAGGAGTTGTGTAGCCTGGCTGAAAACCACTGTCTTAGAGAACACTAACTTTTCAGCAATGGCTGCAGAAAGTGCACTCAGAGGACTGAAGATCTGTATGAATGACATTTATACAGGATTCTCCCTGCAGAAAGAAAACTCCCATTATTATGTGCTTGGCGTGTAATGCCAAACATGGCAGGCTAGCTATGACATAGCAAATACATGTCTCTGTTTTAAATCCTCTGATGTAAGCATATGGCTACGTCTAGACTGCATGATTTTCCGGAAATGCTTTTAATAGAAAAATTTTCCGTTAAAAGCATTTAGGCAACTTAAGAAGAAAATTAGTGTTTGATTATGGATTGAAAATGTATCCCTGGGGCCACACTTTGTGATCTTTAAACTGAAGTGGTTTAGTCAGATCTGTCCTTTTATGGAGGAAGTAAGTGGTAAAAGGTTTACTGGTGGGGGCTGGAGCAGCTCTCCACGCACAGTGGCCAGAAGAATGCCACAGACAGGGGCGCTCCTGTACAGCCAGAGCAGCCCCGTCCATGGCAGGTCTTGGCACACTGCAAGCAGGGGCTGGGTTTGGAGCCTAAGACACGTTGGCGGCGGGGCCGGAGCAGCCCCTCCCACTCACCCTCCCTGTAATCAGTTAACTGGTTAAATGCTACATTTAACCAGTTAATCAATTAAACAGGATTTAACATTCCTAGTAAGTGGTATCATCACCCACTGCAGCCCTTATACGAGGAGTAATCTTGATATGAATGAGAAGATCTTGGAGCAATTGCTGTCCTCCTGATGCAGATGCTCAGCAGGGCCCCCTTTGGCTGTTTTCTGATGAAAGCAAACCTCTGTAAAATAGACTAGTGGTTTTCAACCTTTTTTCATTTGTGTACCATTAAAAAGTTTCAAATGAAGGAGAAGATCCCTTTGGAAATCTTAGACCTTTTTGA